GACTTGACTTGACTTGACTCCTGCTCATCCTCTAATGTGATTTATACCATCATATGTCAGGAACGTCTTTCCATTCCCTACAATGGACAGTCCAGTCCCTTTGACAAAGAATTAATGGACGTAAGTCTAACATCAGAAACCACAATATTCAAAAACTAGTGGGGGGACATTTCAACCTTCCAGGACATTCAGTTGTTGACCTAAAAAAAGAAGTTATCTTACAAAGGCTACATGCCAAAAAAGGTTGTCTGTCTTATAAAGGAATTTCAAAAGGAGATTAGAGAGACTGCTAAATTGCAACAGATAACAAAACTCAAGACAATGCATCCACCTGGATTGAATTGAGACCAAAGTTTCCTGTCTCATTGCCAATGCTGATTTCTCCATGCCTACTACCTCTCTGCATATCACACCTAATCTAATCACACCTTCTATTGTCACTTCCCTGCTAATGTCATTTGACATCTGAAATCAGTCCACTTTCCAATATACAGATGGACTCACATTCTAGCTGTATCTGAAGAAGTGAGCAGTGGCTCATGAAAGCTCATACCCTACCACAAATTTTGTTAGTTTTTAAGGTGCTGCTGGACTCTTACTGTTTTCTACTGCTACAGACAGACTGACACGGCTACCCATCTTAAGCAACACGTGTGGCTGTTCCTGAAAATTCATTGTAACATTTGTTTCCTCATACTTTGATGATTAACCTCTACCATTGTAGTAGAAAAGTGCCCATTATTAAAATAGGTGAGGTTTGGGTAAAGGGAAAGCCTGAATACTGCTCACTTGTACCACTGCTGGCAGAGTCCAAGGGCTGCAAGCTGCAGAGGCAGCTGAAATGGCATTTATTTATTATTTACATTGATTTTTTAAAAATGAGGTGCCTTTCTGTCTTCTGGAACTCAAGTTGGCTTACAATATAAACAAAACAAACATATAAAATACATGAAGTACATAAAAACCATAAATTAAAATCGCAATCTGTCAAAAATAGAAAAATTAAACTAATCAAATGCTTCCCTGAATAAAACCACTTTCTGCTGCCTCCTAAAGATGGAAAGTGAGTGGGTCAGGTGTACCTCCCTGGGGATGTTATTCCACAACTGTGGAGCTACCACCAAAAAGGCCCTCTTTCATGTACCCACTAGAGGAGTTCCTTTGGTTAATGCAACAGTCCGGAGGGCCTCTCCCTGTGATCTTCATTTCCAGTCAGCTCTTAAAAGTTTGTGTCTATTCCCCATTGTCTGAGTCTTCACCAGCAGGGGGTGGGAAATGCATTCCACAAGATGAGTGGAAACAGCACAAAAGCAGGATGCACATGACCTCTACTGTTAACCATAAAAGATGTGGCTCCACAGACCTGCTTTGCTGCAGCGGATGTACAGGCAAGCTCCACCAGAACAATGTGGAATATGGTTGCCAATATTAAGATGAAATTTGGGGTTGTGGAGTGGCATGGGGAGTGGTCTGTTGGACCCTTGAAAGTGAGTATATAATTCAGTTTAACTGGGATGTCTTCTGGTTTTGTGGGAGGAAAGAATTGACTTCAGGGAAAAGGGGGTGCACCGTTATGGCTCTGGGATAGCAAGCAGGAGAGCTAGAAACCTCTGGACCCAATATTTCTTGAGGCAAACTAGGACCAAATATTACCTGTGAAAAAACAGGTTGCTTACCTGTAACTGATGATCTTCGAGTGGTCATCTGTACATTCACACCCATGGGATCTAGTGTGGACACGCTGGATCGATCGGAGCTCTTTTAACGGATTTTCACGCTCAGTCCCTCAGGCATGCGCAGGAACCCCACCGCGCAAGCCCAGAGGGGTGGGCGCAGACATCCTGCCAGTTCCTTCAAACCGCTGCAAATCAACCCCTATTGAAAATGTAGAAGCTGACCGCAGCGGGGAAGGAGGGCGGGTGGTGTGAATGCACAGATGACCACTCGAAGATCATCAGTTACAGGTAAGCAACCTGTTTATCTTCGACGTGGTCTCTGTGCTTCACACCCATGGGAGATTAGCGAGCAGTGGCCTACCTGGAGGAGGGTGCTGGCAGGTCCTTTACTGCGTAGCCGAAGATAGAATGTGATGTCCCATGCTGGTATTGGTGTTCATACGGACGTCTAGGGCGTAGTGCCTGATGAAGGGGTTAGGCATGGCCCACGTAGCGGCTTTGCAAATGTCCGTCAGTGGCACTCCCTGGAGGAAGGCAGTGGAAGTCGCGACAGCCCTGGTCGAATGAGCCCTGATAGGGCCAGGTAATGGCTGTTAGGCGATCATGTAACATAGACGGATGAGACCCACCATCCAGTTTGACAGCCGCTGAGCCGTGATGTGAGTGCCCAGCCGTGCTGACGCGTAAGAGACAAACAGTTGCGAGTCTCGTCTAGTTGGGTGTGTTCTACTGAGGTAGAACAGGAGAGCCTGCTTCACATCTAAAGTGTGTAATAGTTTGTCTTCTGGTGATGTTGGATTTGGGGAAAAATCAGGGAGGAAGACCTCCGCCTGCAGGTGGAACTCTGACACCACCTTCGGCAGGAAGGTCGATCCAGCGCGTTGCTGATTTTATCCCATGGGTGTGAAGCACAAAGACCACGTTGAAGATTGATGGTTTCACAAGCTAACCATACTTTTTAAAAAACCACATGGTTTGACATTATGTTTGAAGTGAGACATTGTTCCTTCTAGAGGAATCCCTGTCAATAAAGATTAGGTTTTCCTATTCCTGTAGAACAAAGACTTTTCCTTTATGCATTGCCCCATAACTTTATCTGCACAAATCACCTTCAGTTCTATTTAGAATACTGGGGGCGGCTGTACGGGTGTGCAGACATGTAAATACAAATTTTGCATTTATTGGGTTTTTATTCTTATTCTTGTATTCTTGCCAGGTCCCTTTTTATTGAATCCTGGGACTTTTTATTTTATTTTATTTTTTTGTGTGCAGTGCTGTACACACATAAAAGAGCACAGATTAATATCAATTAAATTTCAAGTCATCATGGCAAGGTATTTGGAAAAGTTTTCAATTAGTAATAATTGCACCTTGGATTAACCTTATTGACTATGATACTGCCACTGTACAAAACTCATTAATATCTTGAAACCACATAACCCACACATTTTAGTAAACTTTTTCAAACATTATTTTGGGAAAGGGATAAAAGGTATGAACCAAGCTAATGTTTGCTGATTTTATTATTTCATTTTATAAACATTAAACCAGAGTACTAAATTCTCATTGTTTCAATGAGTCTGTCATTACCTTTGTCACTAATATTAGTTAAACTAACGATAAAATTCACAGCACTTATCTAGCATTAGGAGCAACATTAATCCATGGGGTGTTTTTGATAAACTGCAGTTCAACAACGGAGCCAAGAATGACTAATTAAAAAGTTGCATGGAGAAGTACTTATAAAAAATGTGAACAAAAATAAAGGCAAACTTGGATATTTCATGAAATGTGTTGCTAGTGATCTTGACACGCTCAAAATTCTCCACATGAAGCACTTATAAAATTAAATTAGCTTATGATCTCCCAATCATTTGACTTTTACATGCAAACTTTCCTTTTTAAATGCAATAATTCTGAAACAGGAATGTTCATACTTCTGGATCAAGAAAGCTTAAGCCATTGAAGTGAGGCTGATATAATGTTCTTTCTTGTCTGAATTTACCACATTTAAATGTTTATGAAAATAATATTCATAATCACATTGACACCCCTTGTTCTCTCCAAACTGTTCCTTTCTCAACAAAGAATTGATCTAAAGAATTGTGGGAATAGTTCTACTCATGGAACATACCCTTGCTGTATGGCCCCCTATACTACTACCAGCAGCTTGCGACAGCCTCTATAAATGGTCTGATAAGCTGTTTACCAACTCTAGCTATACTCCTTTGTGACCATTCCACCATGGCCTACTGGGATTTCTACATAATATCATACCACCAGCAGCACTTTATTTTGTTACTGTATATGATTTTTATGATGTGTATAATTTGTGTTTTAATATATTTTAACTCTTAATGTAAGCCACCCTGAGCCTGTCTTGGTGGGGAGGGTGGGATATAAATTGAAATAAATAAATACTTCCAGTTTTACACAGTGTCCTCCTGAAACGACTCCCCCTGCAAGTCAAGAAACTCTCAGAAATGGTGTGGGGCATTGTCACCACCCCCACTACTTTACAGGCCACTGGCAGGGGGAAAAAAGGAGGGTGCCAGTGTTGTGCCTATGTATGCTATCACTTCTGGAAGAAAACTGGAGTGATGCCTTCACATTGGGGCGATGCTCTAGGATTCACCCAAAGCCTTTAAACTGCATTTAATCCTAGAGCGTCGTCCCGATAAAATGATGTAACTTCTGGTTTCTCCCTGACAGTCGCTAACTGGCTGACAACCATAAATATGGTGCAGGAGATTGCAGCAGCAAGGAGGAGTCAGTGGATGTCCCTTCCCCACACAAAAATTACCTTTCACTCACGCAATGGAGGTTTGAATTCATTCCATGGAAAATGAGATTATATATGCCTGGTCTCCACCTTGCCTAAATACACCAAGGTAAATTTCCAGCTCTGAAGCACCATGATCTTTTGTGATGCCTCAGAGATCCTGCTACTGCTAACTCTATGATCTTTCTACACAGGTGCAGCCACACTGATCCTTTCCATTAGAACCTACATCTTGTATTATGTGTCTACTCCCCCAAATACAATCCTTATAATACCTTTTCCAACATTGTGGATTCTGGTTATATATAAATTTGGCATTTTTAGAATCTTATTAAAATATATTTCACAACTTTTAATGACATGTTTTCCAATTCACATAGACAATTTAGGAAAACAACTTGCATTTATTTAAGAAAGAGGCCTGAAATGTTACAACTGAAATGCTAGAAAGGTAGATTTTTACAAAAGTTAAAAACAAATAAATTAACCGAAGTACATGTCAACTTATATCATCATTTAAAATATATACATGGAGTACTTACCATGAATAATCAGGACATACTCTGCGCTGTTTTGGCCAATAGTATTTTCTGCTTCACATCGATATGTACCATTGTCCGTTTTATTTAGGAAATTAATGTTTAGCTCCCTACCGTTGACAACCATTCTTTCTGGATCTGGTAATTCTCCACCATCCTTTGTCCATAATACTGGATCTGGCCTATTAAACAAACCAAAAATTTAGTATTTATATTTATTTATATTGAAATGTATACTCTGCAAAATTAATTCAGGGGTTTCCTTGCCAAGTAGACAATAATTTAAATACAAAGCATAGGAACCATTAACAAATACAGCCATCAGAGTTAAATGACACAATTCACCATCAATGAATTTCTTTCACTGCATAAGATACCAGAACAATGGTCTTTATTTTAAACTGAGTTCACTTTTGCCTAGGAAGCTGCCATGAATTCCAATCAAAATTTTCAACTTTCAGACAAGTTATTAATGAATAGATGACTGTTGACAAACATATTTAACATTAAGTGGGCTTTTATTATATATCTCTGGATAACCCAGAGTATCAAATGAATATACAAATAATAAATGCAAAATAGGGTAAAAGTATACAATAGACTATTGTGAGGGATTAGTGGATTTCTGTTACTGTTGCTATTCCAAAATTCTTCCTTGCACTGCATGTTTCACTCCCGCTTTCTTCCATTTTAAGTAGCAGAGTTTATGGTGTGGATGTTATGGCATCCTTTCCCCTTGCAGCACTTCTCTTGCTGGAGAGATATTCTTCTGCTGAGGCATTGACTTCCTCTCCTGTTAGCTCTTCTGAGTGATTAAAGGATCCTTGAAAAACATTGATCTTCTGCATGCTAGCAGCAGAAGCAAGCAGTGCAGCAGGGGAAAGCCTCTGCAGAAGCTAGAAAGAAGCACAACTCGAATGATGTCATAGGATTAAAGCATAATTGGTACACATTCAGTTTCAGTGCCTTCCATTCATCTGCATATCTTCCTTCTATGTTACTAACATGCACATGTGCATTGATAAAACTGCAAAAACTGCAAAAAAGTGACTGTACGTAAGACTGCTGCATTAAGAATATGGTTATGTGACATATTATTGCATGCAAGTGCACTTGTGCATTGGTAAATACTGAGCCAAAAGAACCTTGATGCACATGCTGTCATATTAAGATGGCTTTGTTGCTATTTTTAATCAATGCTCCTGTGTACACTTTTATTATTTTTTTCCATTATATACTACAGACATACATACAAACAACCCCCAACTACCCACCACAACATATAACATATAACAAGAGACTTTATTATTTCTTCTGCTTATTAAATTTCTAAATTCATTATCTATTTTACTAAGCTTATCTTTTCTGCATTCTCAAATTACTACATTTATCTATTAATTACATTTACATTATACCAATCGTAGAATCTCTTCCAAGTTTTTTGAAAAGTCCATTCTGTACCAGCTCTCATCTCAAGTGTCAGTTTGTCATTTCCCGCTGTTTCAAATAGCTTGTTCATGTACTCTTGTTTTGTTGGTATTTCCATTGTTTTCCAATATTTGGCATATACTATCCTTGCAGCTGTCGACATATGAACTATCAAATACCTATCTGCTTTATCAAAGTCTTTTGGAAATATATTCAATAACAGTATCTCTGGAGTAAACGGGATATTAGTTCTTATTATTTTTTCCATTATCTCATGAATCCATCTCCAATACCTCTTTGTAACATCACATAACCACCACATGTGATAAAAAGAACCAGTCTTATTTTTACATTTCTAACATTTATCAGAGCAAATAACATTTTGTTTAGCTAATCTATCTGGTGTAATATACCATCTGTAAAACATCTTATACATGTTCTCTTTATATGACACAGCATTAGTTAGTTTTATATTTTTCCACCAAATCTGCTCCCACTCTTCAAAATTAATATTACTGCCTATATTCTGGGCCCACATAATCATATTTTTTTCACCATTGTTAATTGTTAATTGTTCACCATTGTAAATTATTAATGCAGGGCTGCAGTAAATCATGCATGTACAGTGCTTAAAACCTCTGTTTTAAAAATATAATCCAGGAGGATTCCCAGTGCATTAGCTCTGTTTTGGAAATAATATTGTCTTTCAGAACATCAAAATCCAGGAAGAAATTTGGATAAAAAGAATTTTGGCCACCTTCCTAGGTATTTCACAGTGGTATTCCACAAATGGTACTGTCAAACTGGTACTGTGGGAATATAGACTTATTCTTGCAATACATAATAAAATACTTAAGATGGAGATAAAAATAATACCTCTTCACAGAGCAATAATTTAAGGCAACAATTCATAGCACTGGCATGTTACAAAAAGGTACAGAAAAAGAAAAGGTGAGCACCAAGTCTTCATAATACTCATGAAGGAAAATAAGTACATATAAGTGCAATAAACCAAGGCGAAGTGGGATGTACTTTGCTAGGATTGGGGGCAATACTCCCTCTAAGCTGTGGAGCCTTGTGAGCAACCATTCTGCTTTGTGAGCTACCGGCATTAAAGTTGTGAGCGAGCAATTTGGCTTCTGCATAAAATAGTTTGCTCTGGAGCCATTCTTCCTGAGCTAAGACAAAAATGTATGAGCCGGAGGCTAAAAAACTGTCAGCTAACTCACATTAACTCAGCTTAGAGGAAACACTGATTGGGGGAGATAATGAATATATAAAGTTTTGGGTACAATAAAAGAATCCTCTAATGGGAACAGGGTAGAAGCAAAGAGTCTACAAGGATACATATTTGGGATGGCTAGCACGAAATATTTTTTTTAAAAAGATGACTGGCATTCTGATTGTTCAAAATGAAACAAACACCCCAGTTAAAAAAGTGAAACATCTCTATGCTCAGAATCTCTACTCTCTGTTCAGTATAAATTAACATGACTAAGCCCAGACTAGGAACATATATATAAAAAAATTAGCGTATATGTGAAAAACCTTTCTATGTTGCTTTTGTTAGGAATGGATAAACATGCTTCTAAAATAACACACGCTTATCTGATGGAATTGGGAAAAAAGACTCCCAAATTACATTCCAGGAAGGGAGGGGCATGTTTATGGTGACTGATGTGCTGTGAAAGCAGCTGAATCACTAGGCCAGATCTTACCATTTGGGCTAGGCTGTCTGTTGTCCTGTTTGATTATTTTTTACTCATCATCCCCTGTACATGTGAACTCCTTTAATCTAGACTTTTAAAGAGACTGGTAAAGGACTGATTTGAAACTGTAAAATCTGAAACTCTATCCCACGTTTTGATTGGCCTATGAAGGGAATTCCAAAGCTATGGAAAAGTCCACAAATATGCTACTACTAGTCTGGGGTTCAGTACTGTGTCATGATTTTGGTGTTGGGAATGAGTCTGCCTGAAACACTGTGTCATGTATCAAAGGGGAGGGTTCTCATCTCTAACAACCCTCAATCGTGGCCCCTTTCCAAAGAAGGGAAATGGATACACTTAGTTAGGAACGATCTTTTGGTTCTGTTCTTAGAGTTCTGCCTTAATTCTACCTGCCCTGAGATTGTTCCTAAGTATCTATTCTTTGCGGCTTTAGTTCTAAGTGGGACGGGGAGGTTTGATGAGCTGCCACAACCCCGCCTGAAACCACCACACTTGCTACTGATTTGGAAGCAAGTTGATTCAATTGGCCACAACTTTACTGATTACAGCTGTAAGAAGCATTGACACAGCATGGGTCCACCAGATCCGATGCATCAGTTGACCCGCCACCAGCTGATGAACCCCGTTACCCAGCCAGCCGGCATGGGTGAAGACCGTAAAATGGCAGGTTGCTGGAGATCACATGGACGACTGCCCCTTCGTGATCTCCCCTGCCATCTGGCTCTGAGGGCAATTGCTGGTAGTTCCTGAGCACACTTGCTCCCGGCAGTCCTCACACCAAGACCCGTTAAGGTGGTCCCCATATCCGGAAATCGGCACGCAGGCCTATTTCCATAAATGGATCCAGCCCCATGTTGTTACTGCCTAATCCGTTGTGACAAAAGAAGTACAAAACCAAGCAAGCAAAAGCAACAAAACAAAAGTCAAAAGTAACAATACCAGTCATACAACAATGAGAGCAACGTACCCTCCCCCAGGAACTGTGTAACTGCTTCAACCCCAAATGGCTTACCAAGAGGGTGGGACAGGTGGGCAAGTCGATCAGCGACGGACATGGGCTGGGCAGAGGGGGCAAGTGGCCAGTTTTCTTTCTTTTAAATTCGCTCCTCCACAAGCTATCCCGAGGCTGCTATTGGCCTGGGGGGAGGAGGGACGGCCTTACTTTCCCACCACTCACCCGCTCCACCTCCTTCCCAGCCTCATCCACCTCCCTGTGCCCAGCGCTGCAAATGGTAGGCTGTGCCAAGCCGGGCCCTTCTTGCTTCTAACCAATAGAAATGGACTTTTCAGTGCCCCTTTTAATCTTGTCCCATTGCTCTGTTAGGCTCTTGCTTCGTGTTACTCCCCACCTCCCCACCCTTGTTTTGGCAGTTTGGGGTTGAGCAGTAATTTTTTGGAGCGCATATCAGATTGGCTATGATGGGGCCTCTACTTTGGAACTGGCAACTTTATTCTGAAGTCTGGCTGCTGTACAACTTGGGTGGAAGGGAGTGAGACTCAGCACCTCTTGTCCCAGAATTATGTGCAGGCAATGAGGAACAAGGCACAGCAGTAGTAGCCATGCTGAGTTTTGACCCAGGGTGGGCTTGCCCTTCCTCATTTGGCTTTCAAGGGCTGCTTTAGCTGATCCACACAAGTTATGGAGAAAGTTAATTATGTGTTGAGTTTATGCTGCAGGTCAGTTTAATAAACAGATTCCAACCCATTTACTTGGGTATCATGTCTTCATTGTGGGGTGTGGGGGCAAAATAATATTAGAAAAAATCTTCCTATATCAAGCACAATCTTGTATCAAACATATAGATCCATGTTTGGGTTTGTACACAAACTGTGTCATAAATAGGAAAAAAATAACCAGAAACAGTACATAAATTTTAATGTACATGAATGTGTCCGCCTCCAATTGAACTGCTGTAATCCTATAAATAGAAATAAAATCATAGACTCACAGACTTGGAAGGGATCATATAGACCATCTAGTCCAACCCCATGCTCAATGCAGGATCAGCCTAGGGCTTCCCTGA